ACTGATCTATGTTTCTATCCCCCTGCCGAACCACAAGCTTGTGATTATTGTTGTTATACAGTAAGCCTTGCGATCAGGTAGAATTATTCCTGCTGCTTTGCTTCTTCTTTTCAAAATCATTTTAGATATGGTAGGTCCTGTGCCTTTCCATCCTAATTTAATTTTAATTTTTTTATTTTTAAAATATATATTTATTTTTTTGCACTGGGTCTGAGTTGCAGCAGCTGTGCTCCTTAGTTGTGGCACGGGGGCTCCTTAGTTGTGGAATGCGAACTCAAACGCTTCGTTGCGGTATGCATGTGGGATCTAGTTCCCTGACCTGCGAGTGAATCCGGGCGCCCTGCATTGGGAGCACGGAGCGTTAACCACTGCGCCACCAGGGAAATGTCCCCCATCCTAATTTTAGAGTAAGCTTCTTTAAGTTTCTCCCCAGAATTGCTGGGATGTTGATGGGAATTGTGTTAAAACTACAGATCAACTTGAGTAGAACTGACATCTTGCATATATTGAGTCTTCTCCTCCATGAGCATTGTATGTCTGTCTGTATGTATTGAGCTCTTCTTTGATTTTTTAAATCATCATTTTGTTATTTTCAGGATATAGATCCTATACATCTTTTAAAAATAAGTTTGTACTTGGCACTTCCCTTGTGCGCGGTGGTTAAGAGTCCACCTGCCAACGCAGGGGATGCGGGTTCGATCCCTGGTCCGGGACGGCCCCACATGCCGTGGAGCAACTAAGCCCGTGTTTCTCAACTACTGAGCCCGTGCACATAGAGCCCGTGCTCCGCAACAAGAGAAGCCACAGCAGTGAGAAGCCTGCGCACCGCAACGAAGAGTAGCGTCCGCTTGACGCAAGTAGAGAAAGCCCGCGCGTAGCAGCGAAGACCCAACGCAACCAAAAATAAATAAATAAGAAGTAAAATACTATAAAATAAAATAAAAATTTAAAGAAAATCAGTTTTTGCTGAAGTATTCTATTTTTTGGAGATGTAAATGGTATTATGTTTTTAGTTTGGGTTACACGTGGTCATTGTTAGTACAGTTGACCGTTGAACAACATGGCTTTGAACTGTGTGGGTCCACTTACATGTGGATTTTTTTCAGTAAATACTATAGTACTATAGAGTCCGAGGCTGGTTGAATCCACAGATGGGTAACTGCAGATACGAGTACCATTTATAAAGTTACATGTGGATTTTGACTGCGTGGAGAGTCGGTGCCCCTAAAGCTCACATTGTTCAAGGGTCAGCTGTATATAGAGTTAAGCTTAATTTTAGAATGTTGATCTTGTGTTCTGTGACCTGGATGAACTCACTTATTAGTTTTAAGAGTGTTTTTTGAGCAATTCCTTGGGATTTTCTACATAGCCATCCTTCTTGCATTATGCCCGCTGCAAGTGGGGACCATTATATTGCTTCCTGTCCAATGTGTATGGTTTTTGTTCCTTTTTATTGCATTATTGCAGTGGCTAGAATCTCCAGTATTATGTTGAATAAGAGTGGTGAGAGTGGACATCCTTGCTTTGTTTCTGATGTTGGGAAGAAAGCATTCAGTCTTTCACCACTTAACATGATGAGAACTCTTGGTTTTGGTGGATGATCTTTATTAAGTTGGGGTGGTTTCCCTCTCTTCCTAACTTGCTGAGAGTTTTTTGCAAATGTTTTTTCTATGTCCATGATCACATGGTTCTTGTTCGTTAGCCTGCTGATACGAAGGAGTATATTGATAGGTTTTCCATTGCTGGACGAGCCTTGCATACCTGGGTTAAATCCTACTTGGTCATGGTGTATAATTCTTTGAATACATAATTGATTTGGTTGGCAAATATTTGATTAAGAATTTATGTGTCCAAGTTCATGGAAGATATTGGTGTGTAGTTTTCTTTTTTGTGTGTTATCTCTGTGTGGTTTTGGTATCAGAGCATACTAGCCTCATAAAATGAGTAAGGATTTCCTCCTCTTGTATTTTATGGAGGAGTAAATGATAAATTAGTGTTAATTCTTTAAATGTTTGGTGAAAATCTCCAGTGAAATCATCTGGGCTTGTAGATACCTTTTTGGGAGCTTTTTAATTGCAAATTTGATATCTTTGACGGTTATAGGACTCTTTAGACTACGTATGCCATCTTCGTTGAGTTGTAGTATTTGTAATTTTGGAAGTATTGGTCCATTTCTTCTAAGTTATCAAATTTATGAGGGCAAAGTGGGTTGTAGTATTCCCTATTATCCTTTTTTTCCCTTTTTAAAAAATTAATTAATTAATTTATTTTTGGCTGCGTTCGGTCTTTGTTACTGGGTGCGGGCTTTCTCTAGTTGCTGCGAGCGGGGGTTAGTCTCTGTTGCGGTGCGTGGGCTTCTCCTTGCGGTGGCTTTTCTTGTTGCGGAGCACGGGCTCTAGGTGCCTGGGCTTCAGTAGTTGTGGCACGAGGGCTCAGTAGTTGTGTCTCGCGGGCTCTAGAGCGCAGGCTCAGTAGTTGTGGCGCACGGGCTTAGTTCCTCCGCGGCATGTGGCATCTTCCCAGAGCAGGGCTCGTACCCGTGTCCTCTGCATTGGCAGGCGGATTCCTGATCAGTGCGCCACCAGGGAAGTCCCAAAACTGCTTCATTCTGGAAGAATTGTTTTGCCCGATATAGAATTCATGGTTCAGGGACTTCTCTGGCGGTCCTGTGGTTAAGATTCCGTGCTAACCCTTCAGGGGTCACGGGTCCGATCCCTGCTCTGGGTACTAAGATCCTGCACGCCGCGTGGTGCGGCCAAAAAAATGAGGCAAAATAGCATTCATGGTTGAGAATTCTTATCTTTTAGTAGTTGAAAGTGTTTTATTTTTAGAAATGTTGTTAAAAGCTCAAACTACCTAGAAAAGAGCCCTGAGACAACAAATTATCCACTTTTATTGCAAAAGAACAGTAGCCAAGATATTTCCTCATTATGTCGCTGCATTCCTCCCAGTTTTGGTGAGTTTGAAATGATACTTTGACATATAGCATATTGAATCTAGAGTCATCAGTCTGTTTAGTGTAAGATAGTGGTATAGTGGTTTAGTGGTTTAGTGTAAGATAGCAGTTATAATAAATAGTACAGAAGGATCCTGTGTTCTCTTTACCCANGTGTGTAGTTTTCTTTTTTGTGTGTTATCTCTGTGTGGTTTTGGTATCAGAGCATACTAGCCTCATAAAATGAGTAAGGATTTCCTCTTCTTGTATTTTATGGAGGAGTAAATGATAAATTAGTGTTAATTCTTTAAATGTTTGGTAAAAATCTCCAGTGAAATCATGTGGGTTTGTAGATATCTTTTTGGGAGCTTTTTAATTGCAAATTTAATATCTTTGTTGGTTATCGGACTATTTAGATTATCTATGCCATCTTCGTTGAGTTTTAGTATTTGTAATGTTGGAAGTATTTTCCATTTCTTCGAAGTTATCAAACTTATGAAGGCAAAGTGGGTTGTAGTATTCCCTATTATCCTTTTTTTCCTTTTTCTAAAATTAATTGATTAATTTATTTTTGGCTGCGTTCGGTCTTTGTTACTGGGTGCAGGCTATGTCTAGTTGGGGCGAGCGGGGGTTACTCTCTGTTGCGGCACGTGGGCTTCTCCTTGCGGTGGCTTTTCTTGTTGCGGAGCATGGGCTCTAGGTGCCCGGGCTTCAGTAGTTGTTGCCCGAGGGCTTAGTAGTTGTGTATTGCAGGCTCTAGAGCGCAGGCTCAGTAGTTGTGGCGCACGGGCTTAGTTGTTTCTCGCTATGTGGCATCTTCCCAGTGCAGGGTTCATACCCGTGTCCCCTGCATTGCCAGGCGGATTCCCAATCAGTGCGCCATCAGAGAAGTCCCAAATCTGCTTCATTCTTGAAGGATTGTTTTGCCCGATATAGAATACATGTTTCAGCAACTTCTCTGGCGGTCCTGTGGTTAAGAGTCCGCGCTAACGCTGCAGGGAGCACGGGTCCGTTCCCTGCTCTGGGTACTAAGATCCTGCATGCCACGAGGTGCGGCCAAAATAAATAAGGGAAAATAGAATTCATGGTTGAGAATTCTTATCTTTTAGTAGTTGAAAGTGTTTTATTTTTAGAAATGTTGTTAAAAGCTCAAACTACCTAGAAAAGAGCCCTGAGACAACAAATTATCCACTTTTATTGGAAAACAACAGTAGCCAAGATATTTCCTCATTATGTCACTGCATTCCTCCCAGTTTGGGTGAGTTTGAAATGATACTTTGACATATAGCATAGTGAATGTAGAGTCATCAGTCTGTTTAGTGTGGTAGCTCTTGCTAATTAAAGTTTTTATTTTCAGAAAAGTTTAGCTGCACATGCAGTTATAATAAATAGTACAGAAGGATCCTGTGTTCTCTTTACCCACTTTTCCCCAATGGTATTTACAACTGTAAAATGGTATTAACTTGCAGAATGATAGAAAATTATCACAACCAAGATAGTGACATGATACCATCCACAGATATTTTTCAGCTGTCCCCAGTTTCACTTGCATTAATATGTGTGTGTATTGAGTTCTATACAGTTTTATCATATGTGCAGGTTCACGTACCTCCTACCACAGGCAAGCCCTGAAACAGTCCCATCAGCAGCACGATCTGTCATATTGCTCTTTTATAACCACATCCGTCCCTTTTCTATTGACATTTGCCCCCTACTCTTACCCTCTGCCCTGTTGCATGATAACTATGAATCTCTTCTCCAGATCTAGTATTTGTCCCTTCAGCGTTGTTATATACATGGAATCATGTGGTGTTTGAGACTGGCTTCTTCCCTCAGTGTAATTCCCTGGAGATTCATTCACACTGTTGTATCAGTGGTTCCTTCTTTTTTATTGCTGAGTAGTATTTCATGGTGTGGATGTACCAGGGTTTAATTTTCTGTTCATCTGTTGAAAACCTCTGTGTTTCCTATTTTTGACAGTTAGCGGTAAATATTCGTTCATAGTTTCAAATTTTGTTTCACTTCACTCTTTCACACAAGTTTTCATTTCTCTGGATGAATGCCCAAGCCTGCAATTTCTGGGTCCTATGGTAACTGCACCCTTAGTTTTATAAGAAATTGTCAAACCGCTTTCCAGTGCAGCTGTACCATTTTCCCTTCCTGCCAGCAATGTATGAGTGATCTAGTTTCTCTGCATCCATATTTCTGTTCTTTCCATTGTTCTTTCTCCTTCTTAATGTTCCAGAATTCTATTATGCATTTTCTACTAGAAGGCCTTCTTGTAGGTATTTTCTAAGTATAAGTCAGTTAGTGAGAAATACTTTTGGTTTTCCTTTGTCTGTCAATATCTATTTTTGCTTCATTACAGGAGGATAGTTTCATCAGCTATAGGTATGAGGGTGGGAGTCTTTTCTCACAGCATTTAAAAAAGTTTTCCTTACAGAAAACTCTGTGACATCAGAAAGCAGCCTGGAAGGTAAACCTCAGATGAAGAACCCAGCTTTCTTGTTAGATGAGAGTGGTAAGATACTTCATATTTCTTCATCCCTCCCAATTTTGGTGAGTTTGTAATGATACATATTACAAGTAGCACGATTTAATCTAGGTTTAYKAACACCCTKAATATGAGCTAGTGGTAGSTTTTCYTGATTAWAAWTGAAAARGTTTACTTTAAGAAGATTTTAGCTGGGCATGCAGTTGTAAAAAATAATGCAGAGAGATCGTGTGTATACTTTACCCAGTTTCCCCCAAAGATAACACCTTGCAAAACTATAGTACAGTATCACAACCAGGATATAGACATTGATAAAATCCGCAGATTTTTACTGAGATGTCTTCAGTTTTATTTGTATATATGTGTGTGTTTATGTTTGTGTGTGTGTGTATGTGTATTCAGTTGTATATAATTTCACGACATCTTCCATCACAGTGAAGATTCAGAATATTACCATCAGCACAAGGATTCTCCCTTTTGCCCTTTAAACTCACACCCACCTTTGTCCTCTCATGCTCCTACCGCTACCATGCCTGTCCCTGCCCTCAGCAAATACTAATCTGTTTTCCTTTTTTATAATTTTGTCATTTCAAGAGTTTTACATAGACTCACATAGTATGTAACCTTTTGGGATTGCCTTTTTTCACTCACCATAATTCCCTGGAGACTCATCTAGGTTGCTGTGTATATCACTCCTTTTATATTTTTGAGTACTTCTGCACGATAAGGGTGTAGGTACCATGGCTTGTCTGTCTGTTCACCAGTTGAAGGATGTCTGGGTTGTTTCCCGTTTTTGCCTATTTGGAGTAAAGTTACTATACTATGAATGCCCATGGATAGGTTTCTGTATGAACATCTATTTTCATTTCTCTGGGCTAACAACCAAGAGCACAGTAGCTGGGTGTTATGGTAATAGTAAGTTGAGTTTTGTAAAATGCTGGCAAACTGTTTTCCAGTGTAGCTGTACCATTTTACATTCCCACCACCAATGTATGAATGATCTAGTTTCTTTGCATGTGTATTTCTGCTCTTTATTTTTATTATTCTTATGATTAAAAAAGTTCTTTTGGCTGCACCAGGTAGCATGTAGGATGTTAGTTCCCTGACCAGGCATGAAATCCGTGCTCCCTGCAGTGGAAGCGCTGAGTGTTAACCACTGGACCGCCAGGGAAGTTCCTGTGGATTTTCTTCTTTCTTCCTTCCTCATGCTCCAAGCTTCCTTCCTTCATTATATCCTTTTGGTCAGATGAGTTTCCTTTAGCCAGTTTTCAAGGGTAAGTCAGTCAGTAACAGTTTGTTTTTAGTTTTCCTTTGTCTGCGGATGTCTTTATGTTCCCTTCATTCCTGAAGGATAGTTTTGCCTGAAATAAAAATTACTGTTGAGATTTCTTGTCTTTCAGCACTTGAAAATGTTTTACTTACCAAAATGTTGTTCAAACAGAATCCGGCTCAGAAATGCGTTGTGAGACAATGAATTATCCAATGGTACAGGAAAGTGACAGTGACGAAGATACTGATTCAGAAAATTCCTTCCTCACTGCTTCTTTTGGTGAGTTTGAAATGATCCCTATTATGATACACTCTAACCTAGGTCCATCAGCATTCTTAATATTAATTCTTAGTGACTGCGTTTTCAACA